CTTGAATTTTTGTGTAAATGGTCTATTCCACCAAAAAATTTTAAAAACAGTAACAAAAACAAAAAAAAATAACAAAAACCAAAAAGAAACAGGGGGCTCAATTCTCATTGAATCGCCGCACCGTTTATAGCTTGGAACAGGGACTCCCACGCAAAACAATGATGACATGTCAAATTGACAACGAGACTATGGCGCCTCAGGCTGTTCTGGTTCTTTACACCGAGAAGACGCCATGTCAAGGCCTCATTTCCCAGGACTTCTACATGACACGCAATTAAAATGATAGTACATAGTAAGTATCACAGTAACGCTCACAGTATAACAGTACGTGTGGGGGTGGTGGAGTACTGGGGTTAGGAGAGTTCGTCTTAGACTTGCCCAGGTGACAATCTTCCCCACCACAAGCGTAAATGTCCAACTTTTATTTACGAGCATGCATGCACAAATTATGGTTTATAAAATCATGTTCCATCACAGCTTTTCTGAAACACCTATCTGACGAAGCTATAAAAATATTATTAAGAATATATAATCGTATATGAATTATAACTATTCCCATTTGTTCAGATTGTTATCGTACTGTGACTCTAAGTTGTGTAATGTGTAAAATTTTCGAAAAAATTATAAATAAACGTTATTGTAGTGTCTGAAAGAAAGTAATCAAATAATTAACCACAATCAAAAATGCATTGCAATTTATTTTGATTTAAACAGAGAATTTGGTATCGCTTGGCATCCCAATATAATATCAACACTGGAATCATGGGGCTATCAAGGGAATATAATTTTGTTTGAATAAATTTTCTCTCAAATAGAAATTTCAAGGGAAAAGTAAACGGTCTTCTATCTTACGCGAGATATCAAAAAAACGGCACACCTCAAGGCACGGTAATCAGCCCGACGCTTTTCCATATTGCTATTAACGATATAATCAAATTAATGAATACCCATTCAAGCAAGATTTTACGAGGATGATCTTATAATTTTTTTTAATGGGAAACAATACATAGAGCATAGTCAAATTACTTCAAGATCAACTTGATAAATTTATAGCATGGCCTAGTCTAGGTCAAGAAGTGGTTTTCAATTTGCTTCATCTAAAACTCCATTATCATCAGATAAAGGAAATACCTCTATTTTATCTATATAGTCTAGATATTATCTATAGAGTCCAGAACTCTACTCACATTATATATAAATCTGATCCGCTCCAAGATCGATTATGGATGTCTTCAAGTCGAACTTGGTGAACAACCATTATATTTAGACAGGAAGAAGACAAGAATTAATATTCTTATATGCAGCGAAACGGTACTCTTTACAATGTTACTAAATAATTCTCTTCTTGAATATTCAGCACGAAAAAACCCACATTTCCTTTTATGAAAGACGCAGACGAATCAAATATTAAACCTTAAAGTCCCGAAAGTTGTCCTAGCAAGATGCCAACTCCCCGTCCTTTACTAATATCTTCCTCTCATAAAAATTTGGATGTCTTGTCGGAAAATAAGAAAGAAACCAATCGTCATTTGATTAAATCTAAATTAATTTCTACCTCAATTTCTCAATTTTCCTCCTACAAACAGTTATCCACCGATGGATCTAAGACGGAACATTGTGGAGCATCTGTCTTTATCACAAAGGATGAAATAAAGAAATATAAACTAACGGTGCTCCGAATAGCTGGAGAATATACAGATCAGGACAAAATCTTAAGGAGAGTGAGACAGGGGTGCATAATTTCACCACTGATATTCAATCTGTACTCGGAGCACATTTTTTAAGAGGCTCTAAAAAATATTGATGAAGGCATCTCAATAAAGGGAGTCAAGCTCAATAACCTGCGGTATGCAGACGATACAATAGTGTTTTAGAATAACATAGAAGGGCTGCAAAACTTAATGAAATAAATATCGGAAACAACTAGAACATATGGACTGGATATAAACACCAGCAAAACCAAGCTAATGATCATCAGCAAGAAAACAACGAGCAAATCTTTATGTGAACCAAATGAGAATTGAAGAGATTAAATGTCGCATCGGAAAGGCAAAAAGTGCATTCTTGACTATGAGCTCTGTGTTCAAGAGCCATGACCTCACCCTAGAAACAAAAATAAGGCTCCTTAAATGTCACGTGTACTCAGTGCTTCTGTACGGAGTAGAGACAGAAGGCGGAAACTCTATCAAAACTTCAGGCTTTTAAGCTATGGTTACACAGAAGAATCCTGAAGATACCATGGATAGACAAAGTCACCAATGAAGAAGTACTGCGGAGAATAAACACAACCGCGAATTTGTCAACATCGTAAAGGGCCGTAAGTTGCAGTACTCAGGACATATAATGGGAAATGAAGGCAGATACGAGCTACTCCAGTGCATTTTGCAAGGTAAAATTAAAGGAAAAATGGCCCCAGGACGAAGAAGAATATCCTGGCTTGCTAACGTGAGAGCATTATATGAAAAGACCTCAACACATACATTCCGTATAGCAACCAACAAAGTCATCATAGCCAGAATGATCGCCAACATTCGGAACGGACAGGCACCCTAAGCAGAAAGATAAACTAGCGACGGCTAATACTATCGTGACAGGAGAACTGTTTTTAATATATAAAGCCATATGTCACGTTAAAAAGTCAAGAAATTAACTTCCTAATAATTACAGACTCACTAGAAATCATCTCTAAAATCTATTCTCCCCATCCTGTGGCCAAAATTATTAAACAAGAATTGCCCAATCTTAATCTCAAAAACATTGCGTTCCTGTGGATTATATCTCATATTGGAGTCACGGGGAACGATCTGGCTGATAAATATGCACGAGAAGCCTTAAAGGACGCAATTGAGATCTATGCAAAAACTCCAGCGGCAAATCTCAAATCATATTTCCATAGCAAAATAGTAGACATATGGCATAGGAGATGGCACAAAAAATATATCATGGACCGAGCATGTAACAAAAAACGTCATAAGAAGAGTCAACAAAAGAATGGAATATTGGAAACCATCAAGACACAAAACACAAAAGCTGCAATACCTGGGACATGTTAGGCTTAATGAAAGATAAAAAATACTTCAATTAATTATACAACGGAAAATCAAGGGCAAGAAATGTGTAGGAAGGAGAAGAATCTCATGGTTGCGTAACTTGAGGGAATGGTACGAATGCACATAAATCGAACTATTCAGAGCGGCAGCATCTAATATCAGAATAGCCATGATGATTGCCAACCTCCGTCGCGGAGATCGCAGCTAAAGAAAAGAATCATCACGCAACTGCGGCTTGGTTATAGTCGGCTTACGCATGGACATCTGATAACACCAGATCCTCAACCGGAATGTTTTATACGAGATCTCCACCTTCTGCAGTGCCCGTTACACAGTCGGAAAGAGGTGAATTCAGAAATAAACTATGTATACAAAATTTGATTGTTGTACTATTCTATAGATATTAATATTTTTGTTTCGCTAATAGTCATAAAGGCTTATGCTATTTTGTAAATAAAAAAAATCATGTTTATTGATGTTATACATTACTGAGCATAAAATTTGAATTTATTTTAGAAATTATTATTCTTTTAACTATTTTCAGTCGTAACATAGTTTACCAACGGATTGCTTAAAGAAAACAACCTCTTTTGTACTTCAAAGTGTATTGAAAGTAATGAAAACGAAGAATTTTTCTTTGATATACTAAATATAAAAAACGAACAATTTTAATTTGATGCGATTTTTGTTGAAATAAAAGAAATTTTAAGAACTTCAGTACCGAGTATTACCTTTTGATGAGAAACAGCTTGCAAACGACGGGGCATGCTTTGTATCAGATTTTCGAGATCACATTCTGCGGAACATTGTTCCATTCCTACAACAATATGTCGCGAAGCTCTCTTAAATTTGTAGGGGCCCGCACATGACTTTTAAACGTCTCTTCATGTCATCCCAAATGTGTTCTATGGGAACCTCATCAAGATGATAACTATCCGTGCAGTGTGGGACCGTGCATTATCATTTATAAATGTTGCATCCTCTCCATGAATAACCATAAGCGGTAAGACATGGTCTTCTAGAATCTGTGTCAAGTATCTAAGAGCAATCAATGTCCCATTCTCGATAAAGATTAACTCCTTGCGAGCGTCAAATGGCATGCCAAAACTGATCAAATGGAAGTCTCTCGGCAACACATGCTTCAGCATATCTCTCGCCTGGATGTCGCCACACTCTTACACGTTTGTCAGAGCCAGTAAGACAGAATATCGATTTATCGAAAACACTACACGACTCCGATCATGTATTGTTCAAGCCAAGTATTCTCGTGGCAGCACAAAGTCTCCTCCTAACTGTCCATTCACTTATGTTTATATTTCTTACTTGTTGCAGATGATTTCAAATGGATACTGCCGTGACAGTTCGGTTTCTTAAAGTACTAGAAACGATAAAGCGGTCATCTCTAGCTGTTGTAATTCTGCCTCGACCTGAACCAGGTCTTCGAGTATGCAGACCGGTCTCTTCGTACCGTCGCGATATTCGTTGCACACTCGAGAGACTTATACCGTTTCTCGCAGTTTCGCGCTGACCTTGGTCATCTTCTAACGCCGCCACAACAGCACTTATGCTCATTTCAATACACTGACAGTGAAACACTACACAAAAAATTTACAATTGATTTTAAAACCACAGAAACAAAAACTATGCTGATAATGGTTTTTAGGAATTAGGATAAGGGGTCCTTTTTTATCTAAAACGCTTATTGAAACAGCCACAAAAAATTAATAAACTATGTTTACGGAAAATAGTTAAAAAAGAATAATAATTTCTAAAATAAACTCAAATTACGAGGTAACCCTAATTTTATGCTCGGCAGGATATTTCATATGAATGCACGCAATTTAAGTGCTTATTGTACATTTCTGTTTGAGACTGTAGCTGCTCTGAAGTGAACATACAAAATATTTTTTTGTGGAAAAGCCATTCTTTTTTTCTTTTTTTTTTATTATTATATAAACTTTTGTTCTGCATCTCAATATGTCCATTCTATAATAAGTATCTTTAATTTTTTTATATATAGTCTTTATTTCATTTGCTTTCTTAATATTCGTTGTTTACGCCCAAATATAAAAAGTTTTTTCATTTATAAAAGTGAAATTGTTTGCTTTGTCCTCGCACATCTAAATTTATCTTGAAGCAGTATATTTGAAACATGTAAAACGGCTTTTACGAAATATTTTGGAAAATAGCTACTAGCGACACAGATACACGTTTCCTTCAATTGACTGAGGAAAGAAAAAGGACATTTTTCTATAATTTAAAAAAATTAAAAAATTTAAAATTGCTGTTTTTAAAAAGTACGAAACGCCACGATGGACGCCAGAAATCCATAGATTTAATAATCAAGGAAATAGTAGAAATAGAGTTTATTAAAGACTCCCATTTCAACACAGAACATAATTGACCAAAAACTTTCTTATAAAATTATTTTACTATATAAACACAATATAAATGCATAAATGTTTTGTACTTTATTCGTCCTCTTTTACCAATGACGTAAAGGTAAAGTATATTTTAATCTCTATTTACTATATAATATAATATTATACCTGTACCGCCAGTGCTGGTCAAAAGACACATAAACACAGTACATATAGATTACACATAGAAAGAAATAAAGAATCTTAAATCGGTCCCGACACTTCTGCATATAACTAAGTTACAGCATATCAACTTATTTTCATCCCTAAAAACCTTTGGTTAATGTATGACCAACGTTAGCGAATTATTGTGACACCCTGTATATTGCAGATCATATTGATCGTCTAAGGACCGCTTAAGACTTTAAAATATTTTTGTGATAAAATTAAAGATTTCATAATTATTTCTTGTTTATTGCTAAGTGTTTAGAAAATTGATAAAAAGTTTTAAAAATTCGTTCGTACTCTCTATATAATCTCGAATATGGTTGTGATAGAACAAACTTCTATGTTATCAAAATATAAGTAAATGCGATCAGTTGCAACACAGTTGTAACAAACCAATTTTGCGGATATTTTTGAATTTACGTTAAAAAATGGTAACTGAAATTCTCACAGAACTACATCATCATAAAGGAGTGGACTTTAATTTTATTATAGATTATTTTATTATAGATTTTATTATAAAAAGGACTTTCAAGTGAAAATAGATAGAACAACATTTTAAAGAAAATCTTGTGTCTGGAGTTGTTCTATTAGTTTCTCCACTCCAAGTTTGTGTATAAAGTCAGTAGATCCAGATGAAATACTCACGAAATTTATATAACTGGAACAATCCTCCAAGAATGGTTGACGACCACCTTTATTACAATACCAAAGATTTTACATGCTATGGTAAAAGCCACACGAGATATTCCCAAAGACAATGCATCGAAGGATATACAAGAAAAATGTACAGACCATGATATAAGGACAGTAAGGACACATGGTATGCTCACGCGCATCTATTTTGAACAGCCAATCACGTTTACGACCAAAATCCGCCATTTTGAAGGCGGCAATTCAAATATGTACAAAATTGATACGAAATATCGTAGTTAAATTAAATTAAATAAAATTAATATTATACATTAATCCAATTAATTCATATTTAAAATGATCTGAACAGACTCTTGCTAAAATAATTTTTAAAAAATCGAAACAAAACAAAAACACATTTACATTTAAATTCCAGTACATTGCAAAGTAAGGTTAAAAAATGCAAAAGTAAACAAAGAAGACGTCACGCATGTAGAGGTGGTTGATCCAAGTATTTTTGTGGATCAGGTCAGGTATGCTCACTTACACTTACTATGAGTACAGTACCCGTACCATGGACGTATAAATAAAGATCTTTATTTATACGGCCATGACCCGTACTCGTTTTTTATAATATATTGGTGTTAGGGATCAGTTCCACAAGTATAAATAAAATACATGTTCCAAAGTAACTGGTACGGGATCAGGTCATCATCCCTACACACATGTGACATATTGAAAAGATGGTGGATTTTGGTCGGCGCAGAAATGTGCAAAAACGAGTCCACTAGTGAGCATACCTTGTTTCCTTATATCATGGTACAGACTCAATTTGGTTGCTCCAAGTTTGTGTATAAAGTCAGTAGGTTCAGATGAATTAGTATTTAATACTCTAGAAATTTATATAACTGGAACAATTCCCCAAGAATGGTTGACGTCCACTTTTATTACAATACCAAAGATTTTACATGCTATGGTAAAAGCCATACCAGAATATCTCTTGAGATATTCCCAAAGATAATGCATCGAAGGATATACAAGAAAAATGTATAGACTCAATTTGGTTTCTAAAATTTCTGAATTTTAAAACGAGAGAAGTACAGTTTGTCTTTAATGGTAATGTTATTTCGAGAAAGCTTTTTATAGGGTACGACACGGGAAACTGAGAGTACTGCGAAAAGAGAAGAATGGTAATATATTAATTATATCTAAATCATACTAAAATCAAAACTTCGACTGAAAAGGTTAACTTACGATATTTAGATGACACTGTGACCATTGCAAGGGGCATAGAACCCCAAGAACATCTAATCTTATGCTTAAATATGAATAGTGCTGAGATGGAAATTACTAACGCTGAAAAACGAAATATATCCTAATTACGTGATAAAACAAGTAGAACAATATCAGTACTTGGGAACTTTGATCAATGAAACCAGTGATCATACTGCAGAAATAAACAGGCGAATAGAGATTGCCATATCAGCATTTATACGAATGGCGCCACTCCTAACGTACAGAAATCTTAATTTGAAAATCAGACGACATACCATTTGATGATACATATTTTCAATATTACTATATGGAGCTGAGACTTCGACATTAAAAAAATGCAATTTAAAAAAATCGAGGCATTCGAACTCTGGTTATACCGCAGAGTATTAAATATATCAAAAATATAATGGACTGATAGAATTACAAATAAAGAAGTACTGGAGAGGGTTGGTAAAGAAACAGAACTAATCACCACTATAAAGCAAGAAAAATGGAATACCTAAGCAACCTGATGAGGGATCCAACCTTTGAGACGAATAATACAGGGAGTGATTCAAGGAAGATCTGAAGGCAGAATTCTTGGATGAGAATCTACGTAATTATTATTAGTGCAGATCGCTTCAACAAAGACAGAGAATTGCTAAAGGCTGTTAAACATCGAAAAATGTCCTTATCTGGGACATATAGTAAGGGGAAGTCGATATAAAATTTTACAACTGATCCTTAAAGGCAAAATAGAGGGACGTAGAGGTGTAGGACGAAAACAAGTTTCTTGGTTAACAAACATTCGTGAATGGACTCAGATACCAAATGCAGGACAATTATTCCATATTGCAGAAGATCGAGAAGCCTTAGCAATGGTGATCGCCAACGTCGGATAAATCTGATATGGCACGCGAAGAAGAAGAAGAAGCAAATCGATTGATTTGTTTAGAGTAGCAAGTTCAAACATAAAAATAGCCATTATGTTTGCCAACCTCCGTAGGGAGACGACACTCCAAGAAGAACTGTGCTCAAATCAAATAAAATTATGTAACTCACAATCTACAATTACTTCAACATCTAATTGTACCTGTTTAGATAGATATATAGAATAGGTAGATACGAAGATTAATTAATCAAAGTCTTTATAAACAATCACTTAGAAGTTTGGTTCTCGTCTTATGTTGAGGACAAAAGACAGTCACAGGCAGAGGTGTTACAGAAATTTTTTAAAGAATTAATTGACTGATTATTAGAATAAAGAAACATTACGATATCTTTAGACTCATTCTGCATGGAATGATAAAGGGCAAAAGAAATGAAAGAAACCTGAAGAAATAGTGGGAACATATCTCATTAGATCTTTGCATAGTGGCGGCTAATGAAATATAGCTGTGCTGATAGCCAACTTCCGACATGACACGTAGCACTCACTAACGCGTGTCAATCGCTCACTACGATGTGAGTGGGTAGTGATAGTTGGTTCTAGTCCCATGTCAGCCACGAAATTTAAAAAAAAATAGTTTAAAATTACAGGTGACTTTGACTTTAAATTTACGACTGAGTAGAGTCGTATTACATGTTTTCACCAACATAAGTCGTAGATAGTACAACAGTGTTGCAACTGGTTCGCACGGTACTAGTTGGGTGCCATTGTAGTTATGTAAATCTGCACTGAGTGGTATTAGTCGAATATAATAATAAACTCTCTAGTTTTTCTAGTAAAAAATATTACTAAGTTCAATTTAGAGTATTTTATATAATTAAAACTAGCTAATAAATCGAATTTATCGTGTTTTAATATAAATATTGGTGAAAACTACAGATGAACAGGTCTAAAAGTGAATGTTGTTTCTCTATATGTATCTAATATTAGTTGATGGCTATAAAAATTCATTTAGTACGCACGGAATATAACGGGATAACGATACTCAAATTGTCCTCGGTCCTTCTTTTCAGCATTACTCAGTTCAATATGTCAAAACCAATGTTTTGACTCTGACTTTTTCCCATTATTTTCTCTATTTTCTGCTTCTGCTTTGTCTGAATTCTAGGTATTTTCCCAGTACCTTGCCAAATTGTTTCTCTTATTTCCTTGTTAAAAATATTGTGTCTACTACATATACGGCCAGTGCCACATTTGTTCCATTTACCACATTTGCGAAGCGCTACAGATGTCAACAAAGTAACTACCGTTACAGAGAACTTAATTACAGAAAATAAGTATAACTGTTTTGCTTTCATGGAGGACACCACAGCTCATCGAGCAAAAAGACAAAAGAGGGAATCTAATCCTTATGAAAAGGAGACCAAAAAAGTGGCCTCTGATGGCGGACATATCCGGAAATGCGAATGCGCCAAATTTAAATTTTCCGACACTTATTAACAGTAGCTATATAATATTTTTCAGAATGTGTCTTAGACGAGAAAGTTTTAATTAATTATTAACGATAATAGTAAAATGCAACACAATTGTTGAAAAACTTCAATATAAATAAGATTTCATGTGACATTTGGGACAAACAATAACATAACCCAACTAAATTTGATGTCAAAAAGGAGAGAAACTCTCTTTCCTTGTTTAATGTGGCCTCTAAAGATCACCACTTCCTGTCTAACAATATTTTGCCCCCACTACCGTTACATTCCCTCTTTTGTCTTTTTGCTCGATGCCACAGCTACAGTAGAGTATTTTAGTGGATATGAACAAAACACGTAATGTAGGAAGCCATCAACTAATAAATTATGTTTAAATTCCCTTTCGTCAAGCTTAGCCCCTTCTTCTGTAGTGTCCATTTTCAAAAATAGATAACATATATGTCAAAGTTTATTTATTAGATGGAAAATTAAATACCTCGCCCTATTAGACTCGTCTTGTTAAGATATTCTCAATATCCTGTTAACCCTTATTTAAAAAACGGTTACCTTAATAAAATTCGAAAGAAAAACTCTTTTGTCTAAAATATTTTTTACACCCTTTTCGTTTGGTCTTCGTTTATTGCTCTTGGGTATCGAAATATTGTCTCAAGTCAAATTTTCTCCCGTTTTAGTAAAGTTAAGAATCTCTCTCTCGCAAGTTACCTTCGTGCTGCTAATAACCTATAAGTCGTTCTTCGACAACTGGCTCTGCTGTTCGAGCAATTGTGCCAAGGATTTGGGGCCCTGGCCGCTAAAGAGCGATTGCTGCGGCAAATGGTTGAGGGTATTGTTCTCGGAGGGTTTGTTGTTTCTAAGTTGGCCCGGCAGGTTGGGGGTCCAGCTGTTGTTGAACAGAGAATAGCCAGGGGTGTTGTTTTGGTTTTGGAAGAAGGACGGTTCCTGCGGTGGAGGCTATAATAACGAGAATACAGAAGTTAGTATTGATAACACAATAAACTATATTTTATGGTTATGACTATATATATATATATATATATATATATATATATATATATATATATATATATATATATATATATATATATATATATATATATAATTGGTACAGTATAAATTTCGATGCAGATCATCCGACGTCATAGTAGGTGACGCCACAGGAGACCAACACAAAATATTAAAGTCGTAGGTCTGTTCCTTCTTAGAATCTTTTAGCCAAGTACACTGGAATTATAACCACAAGATATATTTTATTGTATATGTGTAGAAATACAATTTGAAGATTTCTATTAATGAAAACATGTAACATGTAAAATACACCCTAACTTGTTTTATTTCATTTGGATTATAAAGTGTTTTTATGAAGCACACTTCATAACTGTTGCGATGTTGACACTTAAAATTTGTTTTTATTATGTACTATGAATTAAACTCAGTTATTTTTAGAACAAAATTAGTGTGATTTAATTTCAAAATTTCACATAAAAGTGAAATAGTCGTAAAGAAATGATAGCTTCTTCGATTCATTATTTTGAACAGGAACTTGATAATAACGGCCCAATTCTACCGTTCACTGTTGTTAGAAAATAATGTAATGTATTTTTTATGTTTATGTAGATGCTTAATATACATTCTTATTTTAGCGTTTAGCTGCAGCTTTAAATTTACATATTTTAACTATGAGTTTTATCTCTCAGGTCGTAAAAACTAATACACCTCTAACATCACCACCGAAAAAACGGACTAGGCCTAAGAACGTTGCCAATACTGAAATAATAAATACAAGCGAAATTTGTAATACAATTTAAAGTATGTATGAATGAGTAACTATACTTTTTGTTAGATACAGTACGTTAAGTTTTGGATTAGATATTGCAAACTACATAGAGCACTAAAATCGGCAATATTGCCTCGTACGAGGTAATTGTAATTCTCAGATCCCCTCCGACATCTTAGCCTTAGACTCGTAGATATAAAACGAAAACCATTTAGTAACACATAACAACGCAAGGAATATGCATCTACGTCCGTCGATTTTTGTTTTGCTTACGTATACCCGGTTGATTTCTTATAACATACATTCGATAAAAATACACTGACCATTATAAGGTGGAACATTTGTATAGGATTTTAATAATGTGTACAATTTTTTGTGGTTGAATTAAAAATAAAAGCGCATTTCTTTAAAAAGATAAAACAAAAAATGTACTCTTATTGAAAATAAAAAATAATCCTAATAAAATAAGAAATAATTCTTTATGTCCTACAAAATTAATTTAAATATTTGACCTTCTATGGCTGAACAGTATCCCAATATGTCATAAAAATTTCTGCGGACAAATTTAAGAGTTTCTGCTTTAACAGAATTTGAGACTCCTTGGAGACTATTATTTGGTTTTTTAATCCATTCAAATTTTGGACTCTAGCCTCAGGATGATCGTAGATGATGCTTTTTAAATTTCCCGAAAAAAATACGTCCATGAGCATACAGCGCCCAAGAAATATAAAAAACTGCATCTATAAAACTGTGAATGCAGCAATTTTTCTACGTGGGAGAAACAAACCACTAAGTGTCAGGATAAATCAGCATGAAACATACATCAAGAACAGAGACTTCGAGAAATGCAAGTTATGCAAACATGCCTGGGACAACGAACATAGACCACAATGGAAAGATGCATTAATAATCATGAAAGAAACAGACATGAAAAAGAGAAATGTCAAAGAAGCAGCCCACATTATACCTACTTAACGAAAAAAAAAGTGTAGTAAGCCCATCAGCAGAATATAGAAGGCTTTGGTTGATAATACTAAAAGTAACAATAAGTCAACAACAAGAATATACCAACAATATAGGAGTCACAGAAAGTCGAAAAACATCACGTGCAATCTTATACACAATACATATGCAACACACAAAACACAAATCTACGTGGCACAACTAAGATACAAATTACACAAACATAAAACACAAAATAATACACAAAACAGTCAGAATTCGATATTCCTAGGGTAAAAACACCACTCTCAGATTTTTTCAGCCATTGACATGTTGTTGCTCATAAGATCGAGGCCAAGTATGTAAGTTTTGAAATAACAACCTAATAACAAACAACTAGGTTATAATATAATATTTAAATTAGACAACCAAAAGAAAGTAGTTTCAGAACCTTGTTAAATATTTTAATTTTCTACAAACCTGACTGATATTGGGCAGCCTGCTTATAGGCCCTCCGCTTCCGGGTGGACCCACAGGAGCTCCTGGCAAATTAGCCTCCTTCAACATAGCTTGTCTCACAGACATTGTAGACATTCCTTGGCTAGCGTTGCTGTCGAAATTTATGTTGTTCATGGTGTTTCCTTCGCTCATGAAATTACCCAAATAGCTACTCCAAGGGGATCCAAATACATCGCTTGTGTTGTTTTGATTGTTCGGTTTGTTTGTAAGACCTAAAAAATAAAATTTAAGCAATTAAAATGAATAAAATAAAAGACAATACAGGAAATAATAGATAATTAATATTACATTCACCAGTAAGTTTATTATTATCATTATTCTGGCTTTAAAACCCTGCGTGGGTCCTACCCTCCTCAAGAATGTATCTCCAGTCGTCCCTATTCATCGCCTTCCTCCGTCAAGCACGTATTCCCATATTTCTCATATCTTCATCGATATTATTAAGGAACCTTGTTCTGGGTCTTCCTCTTCTTTTCTGGTAAGTTTATTATGTTTATCTAAATGTAGAAAATATTTAACATTTTTGCCTTTTTAAATGTAAAGTAATGGGCTAAAGCAATCAGTCAGCAATCCTACACTTTTGGCCAAAAAACGCATAAGCGCCCAATACTACACAAGGAGGGATAGAACTAGAGAGAGACTAAAATAAAAAGTTTTAATTTACATAGTTTATATTTGTCATTTCTCATTATGCTGGCTAGGTACGCGGTCCCTGTTTTGTTAATCGTTGTGATCACTACCAGTAGTGGTAATATCGGAATATCTTAAAGATGCCACTTGGTTCCAATGAAGGTTTTGAATAAGACATAGGTATTTTCTGTCTAGCTTCAGCTTCTGTAATTGATTTAACAATTTACCAGGCTGTACCCTATGATGAAACCAGGCTGAGCATAATCTATGAATCACTGATATACTTTTTTCTGGTGATTAAGGTTTTTGAATTGGAATGTGTGTTGCAAAAGGAGCCTATCTTGTCCCCAAGACCTTTCTCAATCCAAATTGAGAGTCACTTACATCTATTTCGCATTTTCTATAGATATTATTTTATATGGTGTTCAGAATTAAATTACTCAGAAAGCTAATCAGTCTAAATTCCTCGAATTTGCGGAAGTTGGCCTTCTTTGGTATAGTTATAAAATCTGATTTAAGCCATTTCTTTGGTATTACGTCACTTTCATAGATGAACTTTGAATGTTAAGGCAATTATCGAGCACAACTTTAATCAAATCTTGCCCAAGTACTTTCGCTTAAAATAGCATCTTCAGGGGCATCTCAAATAAGCCAAGAAAACGTTTTTTAGATGAAGGGAATTAAAAAATGGACGAAAAAAGTTTTTTGTGATTAACGTTTCAGACTTACTTCGTCAAATATAAGCTATCCAGCAAGCGTAGAATGTGATAAACATGAATGTTAACATAACAAGGACAAGCAGGTTAAAATTACTTTTGAAATTAAAAAGATTCTACGCACTACATTCTTTGTTAGTATCTGGAGAGATAATGATCTAAGCCATGGCCTGGAATCTTATATGAATGACTTGGTTCATTCCCCCATCACTTTCACCCCAGCGAGTTAATAAAGAGGAATGACAGCCTATCTCTCTCATGAAGACTTTAACCAATCATAAACCAAATAAAATAATCAAACGAAGCAAGAAGCAATGTCAATTCTGTCAAAAGTAATGACAGATCCTCCGTCTGTTTACAAGTTTTCAATTTTATTTTATTATCTTTAACTTTCGTTTGCATTTATTTTTAGTAAATTTAATTTTAATTTAAATTTGGTTACTTAATTTTTAAAGTTTAGTTTGAGTTACCTATTGTAGCAAAGAATTTTTGTGTTGTGCTAGTAAAAAAACCAAACATGGTGAATTATTGTATTGTTCCGTTGTGTACAAATCATGGAAAAATTACAAAAAGATGATGATAGTAAGTTGTCAGGAAGCAAAAAATAATAGTATTTAACTTCTGAAAATATGTGTAATAAATATTATGTAATTATAACTGTTTTATCTTAACAAATAAATATACGTGTATCTAGAAAAAAATGTGCATCTTTTATATTATATATCCCTATTTTCCAGTAAATTGTAATTAGTAAAGAAATAGCCCGCAAGAGGCGCTAAAGGTTATGTATGTATGAGGTGTCCATTCGAATTTGCCGCCAAAAGATGATTAGTATTGACCCCAGCCGCAAGGAGTCCTAATGAACGAAAATTATACATTGAGTTGCCTATCTATTTCTACTATTGTATTATTTATCTATGGTCTAAGCGGAAATGCTTAGGTGACATGTGACATATGACAGCTTTGATAGGCAGTCACAGTCATGGATCTGTGATCTGCACATATTAAAATTCTGTGTAAGTTGACATTGACCAAAGGTCCAACTAAAACTACTATAGGAAATCAGCTTTTGAAATATGACATATAGAATATTTTGATTTTAACTAGATTGCATAATCCAGATCTCACACTAACACCCGTCTGTAATAATAAGGTTGTAGGTTTGAGGGTAAATGAAGTGTACATAAAGTGTGAATGAAAGAAATAGACTAAACGATATATTGGACAGTGGGTGGTTGACTACAATAAAATGGTCTACCAGGCACTGTCAATAATGTAAAAAAAAGAAGAAAATTGACTATGAAATTGAAATATTAAAATTAAATCAAAATTGAAAGCAGTGTATAAATGGGGTATAATTCAAGTAGTTCAGTTAAACCCCCAACCAATGGAAGAACTGTAAAACTAATATGTAATAGCGTTACTAAAGACCAACTGACCAACAGTGGCAGGTGTTGAAATATAAAACTGTGAAATTGGTATATCTAGATTACGCAGAGGTATGAAGAGTGAAATTAACTCCAACTGTGGATCAATTGAACCTGAGCAAGCTAGTTGTGTAAATTGTTAAAGAATACAATAGTAATGCTGAACAAAGCCTGAAATTAATAGATTCTTAATGGATATACTCAGTGCAGGAAGTCTAAACAGCCGAGCTGGGTCCATTACGAGGTGAAGCTGCAATAAAGTTTTTAAAAATAGGTTTAAATTTAGTACAATTTAAATTAATTTGAGTGTTAAGACAATGAGAGTTTCCATTCGTTTCCTTTGTGACCTCCAAATCTTCCAATAAATCCAACTCCAAATAGTTTTTCTTTCTACTGATGTCATGCAAAATAGACGAACCAGTATTGATGTTGAAATTGTGTTTACTAGATAGTAAATGTTGACCAAAACTTGAAGAGTTTGGTCTTTTCAAATGTACTGAAATTCTGGTAGATAGCTTTCTAATGGTTCTGCCTACATAAGAGACATCACAAGCATCACACTTTAATTTGTAAATACCACTTTTGTCAAGTGTGTTCAGTCTATCTTTGGTGTTAATTAAAAAGAAACCTACAGTTTTGCGAAAGTGCATGAAAGTGTAGGTTCCTTCTTTACCAACAGTAAGAACACATCGGTTGAACATGGTCTATGTAGAGAATCGCCAAAAACAGTAACTACTAAAGAAGGACATACAATATGGTTACAGATTATAGACGATTAAAGGTGTACAGGATTAGATAAGGATGTAGGTATCTCAGAAAAAGAGTAATCAAAGTTGTGTTCGTACCGATTTAAACGATTTCAATATTATGTACCTATTTCTTAAGACGAATGAAACGTTGTGGAACAGTTATACCTTAATCAAAACAAAAGTCTAAGTAATAAGTTAAAGTTGACGGTACTGCAACTAATACAACAAAGAAAATTACATCAGCTGAAAAGCTTACAGAACTTTTTTAGGATTGCAAAATGATTATTTGAATAGACTACCTCTGAAATTCAATATATATATAGAAAAAAATTCATGACCTAATTACAATCGGACCTCATATCAAGTTACCAAAGTAGATAAATAGCGTAATAATAATAATCATCACCAGCTATTCTAATTTGATCGTTTGATGTAAGCCTCACTCAGGAGAGTCCTTTCATTTCTGTTCATGCAGCCGTTCGCTTGATGTCGTCAGTTCATCTAGTTTGAGGTTTGTCTCTACTTCTCTTAACCTAGCCTAACTAATGTATCAAAACAATATTACTAAAAAGTGATGGTAGTTACCTTGATTTATATAATTCGAAGACACTGGGTTCGAATAAGGAGGAAAATTCAACTGGAAATCCGATCGATAATTCTGCTGGGTCTGCTGATTATTCTGCCACCAACTTTGATTCGGCATCGGTGGTACCTCCTCTCTTTTCCATGTGTTAAACGGATGGGATGGTGGGAAAGACACGTTTTGGAAAGGAGTTGAAGGTGTAAACGAGTTCTGCTGTTGATATCCCATAGGTTTCTGGTTTATCTGGTTCATATTCAGCGGAACGTTCTTGTTGGAGTGCATGTTCTGATACGGCGGCATTATCTGAACGCCCATATTCGGTATTCCAGGATCCTTTTTCTGGTACTGGTAGTTGCTGTCGTTCATTTGCATATTTGGCATGTTTCTAAGGGTAGTGAGGTAATCCGGTTGTGTTGGAGGTTGTATCGGGAAGGCAGGAAGATTTTTATTGAAGTTTTGGCTTCTTAATGGCGAGTTAAAGGTTTGGTTCTGGGATTGCTGTTGGGTGGTTTTTGCTTGAGCGGGAACTGAATCAAATTTGACCGATTTTTCCTTTTCGGAGTCCTCAACGATGAACTTAACCTAAAATATAAATATTATTGTATTTTAGATTAAATACAAAAATGTAGTTTAACCATACCTGTTTACTACTTTCTTCTATCTTTTTAAATATTGACTGCAAAGCTACGTTTTGTTTTCCTCGCTTGTTTTTGGTGACTTCCGGTTTAATAGGCGTATTGTTGAAGTTGGCACTGGGAACCGTCTCTATTGGATTGTTACTCATCAACTCCCGTTCTTCTCTAGACTTTTCTAAAGATCCTTGAGGTTTGAGGATGCCAGCTTTCTTTTCTAAACCTAAAAAGATATTGTCAATCTTAGGTTATAATATTTTATTAAGTGAATTCGGAAACTTGACAACCAGAGTCAGAATTAACTAATCGTCGTCCAAGTTTAGACCCCAAAATCAAGAGACTTATATCGAATAGTAAATAGACGATTGTCGAAGATTATACAATATTACTTATCGACATCTAAATCCTCTTACAAATATACGTAAATGCAAAATTTATAATTATATAATTTCTATTTAATTTATATATGCAATCAGTAAAATATCACATTTTGAATTTTTCCATGTATTTGTTACATTTTTTTCGTGCATCTATCAATGGTGAATAAATCTTCTTCTTTTTTGTTACTAAACAAAGAAGAATTTTTTAAACAAATTTTATTTTTGAACAATATGTCAAAAATAAAAATTTTTAAGTTAGTATATTTATGACATTTAGGCTGGTTTGTAGCTATTCTATTTTTGTTTACAAATTCAATTTTTTTCTTAAAGAAACTTCATCAAAATTTTTCAGAGAAACATTTATTAGAATAAGACATTTTTTATTTAATATTTTTTGTATTTATTATGTAAGCAGTAGTTTTATATAAAAAACTAATTTTATTTGGTGAGTTAACAAAAAAATTTTTTATTTCTAGTTCAACTTTGTAAGATATTTTGTATTTTTTAGAAGCTCTTGATAAAAATTGTATCTCAATTGAAAGCTCGAGTAAAAAATAGTCAACAAATAGCCCCTTTTTATTGACTCCAAACCCATCAAAAACAGTTTTATATTTTTTCCAAACGAGTCACAAGTACTTCTTTTTTCTTACTCTTATATATATATAATATATATATATATATATATATATATATATATATATATATATAATATATATTGGCCGGTCACATATGGAATAAGCGCAAGATCCTTGACAAAGAAAGTATCAAGACCACTTTCTCCTTGTGGAGTATATTCCATTACTTGTTCCTGTGGTCACGTATACATCGGCAAAACTGTTCACATCATCAAAACTCAAATCCAAAAGCTTCGAAGATCTAGTCCGTTCTCTCATTCTGCAATGGCAGAACACTAAGAAGATACCTGCAATTCCACATTTTGTTTTTCCCAAAAATTTCCCGAAATTTTCCCAATAAACACTTTCTTGGTTTAGTCAAGTTTATTAAACTTATTACTGACCATCCCTACGTGTACCGTAATCTCTTAAGTAACTTTATCAGGGACCTGTCGATGAGCAGAAAAATTCTTCTACTATAGTTGTTGTGACTCCCAATCTTTGTAGTATTTAGGAGTTCAGGTATTTTTTTAGTCTTGATTTTCTGGCGGACCCTGTCACAATCATTTTTATTCTTCTTTTGATAGTGTATTTCAGGAATAAGAGAGCAAGATTTGTGGCGCAGGCATTGCAACTTTGAGTTGTATAGAAGTGTAGAGAAACCTGAGGTTGTAAAATTTATTAAGGTAACACGCCTTAGATGGATATGGTATATAATCAGGCGAGAGGAAGATGCAACAGTCAGAAAAGTTTTTATCGAATAGGGCCGATGGAACAACGAGTCAGGGGAAGAGCGAGACTTAGGTATCAAGACAACCTAGAGAATGATTTAAAAGCTTTTGGCGTTTAATCATGGAGAAGCGTTGTCAGATAGGGGCGAATGGAGGATTGTTCTGAAGAAGGCTTTGGCTCATAATGAGCTGTGGTACAACTGATGATAATGAGGTTATGTCAAAACATTTAACTGTGTCATTTTTAGTGCATTAATTTAGAATGTTAAACATTTTAAACAGAAAAGGTTCAGTCTCACAATATATTATAAATATTCAATTCGGACACCAGGTAGTGACATACAGCTAAAACAAGCAATATATGTACTAACTAAACGTGGAGTCAGACAAGGCTGGGCATTGGGCCCAGTTGAACTTTCAGAAGATGGCATAACATTAAATGGAACATTGAAATAATTTAAGATTGGTTGATTGCACAGTTATACTTGCAGTGATTTTTGAGAATTTGTAACCAGTATCTATTAGTGGTAAAAACCCGAATAGAAACGAAAAGAGATAATCAAAATTTCTAAGTTCAAATATTTGTGCAGCTGGATCGGTGAAGATCTGAATCCTGAATTAGAAATTAGAACTCGGATTGAAATGGCCACAGAAAATTACTTAAAAGTGAGAAGCTTTTTAACCGATAGATAACTCGATATGTACATGTGAAACGGCTGTATGAAGCGCTACAAATGTTCTACACTTTTGTGGAGATTTTAAAATCGTACGCTAAAAGTTAATAGGCTGAACAGACCTAAAGCATTTAAAACGTCGATATATCGAGGAATGTTAAGAATATCTTGGATTGCCCATACCAGCAACATAACAGTTCTGCGACAAATGGGCAGAAAACGTGAGGCCGTCGAAATCATAAAGAAACGGAAAACTGTATATCTTGGTATGTTACGAGAAACAACAAATACGACTTCCGTCAGCTGATTATACGGGGTAATATCGAAGGAAGACGCGGACGCAGACAATGTTCCTTAAGAACATATGAGATTACACAAGCTTGGGCTGTAAAGGTTTACTGGACAAGACCAAAACAGAAGAATTTACCAAAATTGTGGCCTATATTGTCCCTTAAAATCTTCTTCTTCAGATGCAAATCCACTAATGGATGTTAGCGATCACATTTTCCATTAACTCTCTATTTCTTGCAATATGTATCAGAGATTGTATGTCGTTAATCCCTGTCCATTGCCTTATGTTTCGGAGCCAGGACATTTTCTTGCGTCCCATTCCTCTCTTGCCTTCAATTTTACCCTCGATTATAAGTTGAGGAACTGGTATTTTTCATTTCGCATGATGTGGACCTAGATAACGCCGTTTTCCTTTTCTTGATGGTTTCGAAAAGTTGGCGTTCTTGGTTTATTCTTTTAAGGACATCTATATTTGTGATTTTCGCTGTCCATGGTATTTTTAGGATACGGCGATAAAGCCACATTTCGAAAGCTTCCTATCTGTTTATATCTCCCCTTAAAATATTGTTACGAACATGCATTCAGCGCAGATTAACCTAACGGTCGCATCTCGAAGCACCGAGAGTTTCGGCGATATTTCGAGCGCTGTAAAATTTCACCCGTCAAATAACGAATTAGAGGTGGGACTACTCTCGAACATAATACTTTGGTATATATATGTAACGAAATTAGGATTTAAGTTTAGTTGATAAGAGAATACCGAACTGTAAAGTTAAAATAAATATATTTATATAAATTCGAACCGCTCGTTTTATTTAATCTCGCTACAATATATATTAGAAATATAAAAAAAAGTGAATTCGGCATTGAACTAGATAATAAGAATATATAATTGTAAATCGACTTACTCTTTTTAGCTACGTTTTCAACTTTGTCTGCTATACTAAAGGATTTCATTTCTTCGAGCAAGTCATTTGTTGGATCCGGTTGTATACATACTGGTTCAAATACAGTCTCACCGTTTACTTCATTCCTAAAAGAGGAAATAAAATTTAACAAATTAACTACTTCTAGAAGTTGCCAATAAATATTTTTTGAAATTTCAAGAAAATAACGAAAGGAAAATGAACTTTGGCCAACTTTCTGAATTTCCTGATGGAAATATGATTACGGAGAATAGATGACGAAATTGATGTTAGTAAGAGTCCTTCTTGATTAACTCTCGGGCTGCGCCTTCTTTGTCATATATACTTTGTTTTGACCAGTGTCACAAATCTATGACCATGTCAACAAGTACTTGAATATATATATATATATATATCTATATCTATATATATATATATTAGTGTTATTTACATATGTTGTTTCTTCTACTGGTCTCTATCCAGTGCTGTTGTCATACACTTAGTTCCAGCATGTTTTAAAGATTTTCACTCCATGTTCTCGAAGATCTTCCCCTTCCTCTACTGTATTCTCATAGTGACCAATATGTGATTTGCTTATTCTATATCTGATGACTTTACTTATGCCATGCCATGAATGAAAAAATTCTATACTTACTTCAATATCAATTTATTGCCATTTACATCTAGATCAGTCAACCACAAGCTTATTTTAATTATACGTTTCATTCTAACCAGTCTTTCGATTTTTGGATCATCGACATCTTCTTTGAAATCTAGTTCTTTGAAGTTCTTACAAAACGGTAAGAATCCCTCGAGCATCTTGTCTTCACGAAGGGGCATTTTCATGTCTAAAAACAATTTTGGGATATTATAAATACGATTTTTTTAACGCCTCCGTAGAGATTTGATTGATTGTGTATTTAGTTTGCGAAAATTTGCGCGTCTCCGTGAAGAACTTTGTTCCGATCTCCGAAAGAGTCATACTTATTCAGTTGCATGGAAAAGTTAACATAAATATGATACAAGTCTACGCCCCTACAGCAGACAAGACTGAAGAAGAACTAGAAAGATTTTATCAACAGCTAGACGAAGCCTTAAAGGTGACTAAGAATCACGAAATTAACATCGTATTAGGAGACTTTAACGCAAAAATTGGGGAAGGAGCCGTAGATCACGTAGTTGGAAAATATGGTCTTGGTCAGAGAAACAACAAAGGGGACAGATTGATACAGTACTGCTCAAGACAAAAGATCTAGTCATAACGAATACTTGGTATAAGTTACCACCAGGAGGCTTTACACATGGAAGTCGCTTTTAGACGGACATTAGGGCATTATAAGGAACCAAATAGATTGTGTGACAATAAATAGAAGGTACAGGAATGCTATTACTAAGGTATCTGCATTACCTGGAGCAGACATAGGATCCGACCACAATACCTTAGTAACAAATATTAAACTGAGGCTCGCTACAGCTAAAAGAAAACACCAGAAGGTATCAGTAAACATTAGAAAACTCAAAAACAATGAAACAAGTGAAGCGTACACAGAGGAAATAAACAATAGGTTCTCTAATATGGCAACTGAGGATGATGTTGAAAAGTCATGGACCACTATAAAAGAATCATTTGATGAGGTGAACAACACTTTTCTACTCGAGAGTAAAACAACTACCAAGAATGAGTGGATGACAGAAGAAATATTAAAGATGATGGAACAACGCAGGCAGTGTAAGATTAGGCAGGACCAAGTAGGGTACCGAAATATACACAGTCAAATTCGTAAAGAAATTATAGCGGCGAAGGAGATCTGGATGACTACACTTTGCACCGAGGCTGAAAACCTATATAAACTCGGCGACAACTTCAATCTTCACAAGAAAATTAAGGAAATTGCTGGTGTCTTCAAGAAAAAAACAAGTCACTGGTATACATAATGACCAAAATGAACTAATAACGGACCCTAGCGATATACTTAATAGTTGGAAATTGTACACAGCCAATTTGTTCAATGGTGACAGAACACAAAAACCACCACAACTGGGAGACCATTTGTAGGCCCTAGTATTTTGAAAGCTGAAATTGTACACGCTTAGTCCAAACTATTTAAAAAGTAACAAAACCCCAGGACCAGATCATATGTACGCAGAAACAATCAAGTTACTTAATGAAGAAAACCTAGACATTATTGTCAAGCTCTTTAACGACATCTATGATACGGGCCAGATTCCAAAAGATTGGCTTTGCTCTACATTTATCGCCCTACCAAAAACACCACGTGCGAACTTCTGCAAGGACCACCGACTAATAAGCCTAATGAGTCACTTTTTAAAACTTTTCCTGAGAATACTGCACACTAGATTGTTTAAGAAATGTGAAGAGGTCAGTGGATGGAGTCAGTTTGGTTTCAAAAATGGACTTGGCACGAGAGAAGCGATCTTTAGTATGCAAACATTAACACAGAATTGTTTAGATCAAAGAAAGGATGTTTTTGTCTGTTTCATCGATTATGAAAAAGCATTCGATAATGTAAAACACGAATTGATGATAAAATACCTACAAGAGTTGGGATTGGACGCCAACGATATAAGAATTATCGCCAATCTGTATTGGAACCAGACAGCAACAGTACGTATTCAAAATTTCAACGAAACAGAAGATTTCTCCATTAAAAAGGAGTAAGGCAAGGTTGTATACTGTCTTCAATGCTGTTCAATTTATACGTAGAAAAAGCCTTCGCAGAAGCAGTGGCAGACTCTAATAAGGGTATTAAAGTTAACGGTATATTTATTAATCATCATCAGGTACATCAGGTATGCCGATGATACAGCCATAGTGGCAGATAACATCGAAGATCGTCAATGCCTTTTAAATGATTTAACTCTTGCACGTGAAGCTCGGTTTTTTTTTAGTTTGATGGCCTTGGCCGAGCCAATTAGCCAGACAAACCAGCTCGGGGTTTGAAAATAAATATCAAGAAGACAAAAACAATGATTACAAGTAGAAATGATGACCCCAACGCAAATTGGGTGCAGCAGGTCAGGCAATTTAAATACTTGGGTTGTTTGCTGAACGAGGGTTGGGACCCCGAGAATGAAATAAAGAGCAGAGTTGAACAAGCCAGAAATGCTTTTTGAGGCTTCGTAAGTTTCTGACTGATCGCAAATTGGACTTTAACCTCCGATACAAGATGCTTAAGTGTTACGTGTGGCCTGTACGGAATGGAAGCATGGACGTTAAAGGCCAGTTCCATTAACAAACTTGAAGTGTTTGAAATGTGGTGCCTGCGTCGAATGCTTAGAATATCATGGACGGACAGGGTCAGAAATGAGGAAGTACTCAGAAGACCAGGCTTACAGGATAGAGAACTTTTTAGTTATGTAAAAAGTAAGAAGACTGCATACTTGGGGCACATATTACGAGGAGAAAGATACACTTTTCAGCAACTGATACTCGAAGGGAAGATAGAGGGTAGGAGAGGTCTGGGACGTAAAAAAATGTCATGGCTGCGCAATATTCGACAATGGACAGGAATCCACAGCTATGAAATGCTTGGCAATGCTGCTAAAAACAGAATTATTTAATACTGAGAATTATTTATTTAATACTGAGAGAATTATTTAATACGAGAGAATAAGAGAAGAAGAAGAAGAAGAAGAAGAAGAAGAAGAAGAAGAAGAAGAAGAAGAAGAAGAAGAGTATCTAGTTAGCGATTAAGTATCTGAGTTAGCGAGATTGCGTTAACTGAGATTGAATATCTCAAGCACTGATAAGGGAGGAGGGTGAGACCAGTAACTTATATGTGGTAAAAAATAAGACATACTCACAAACTGATTCAAAGATAACTATCCATGCAAAGAAAAGAACTACAGGTTGGAAAATGAAAAACAACCTAAATGTAAGAAAGTGGAATATAAAGTCATTAAACAATAGAGACTAAGAAATTATAGAAGAACTGCGACACAGGATTGACATATGTACACTAGAGGAGACAAAGAAGAGGGAAATAGAACAAAAAGACTACAATGTATACATTTTAATCTACAGTGTACAATGTAGCGCGCAAATGAGAACTAGAGCAGGAGGTGCATACTCGTTCATGAAACAATCAAAAACAAAATAAAGAAATATCACTATCTTGAATATGTTGCCTGTGTGACTCCATTTCAAATAGGCAAAAAGAAATAAGAATAAGACTTACTCAAAATCAATTTTATTCTACCACCAACAAGCGGTTTCGTATACCATAGTTTTCGATGCATCTTCCTTGTATCGCCATTTAGTTTCCCTGTACCGTTGACCTGAAGATGCAATAATGCATAAAAAATTATAATATGCGAAACCGGTCGTTGGTGGTAGAATAAATTGATTGTAAGTCTTTCTTTTTACCTATCTCAAATATCACTAAATATCAGAAAGAATATTATACATACAATTAATTAAGAATATACAGAATATAAACCATTAAAGTAGTATGTACGAGGGTAATTCGTTAAAGATTCCTTACGCCCTTGAGAAACAATGCGACGTGCTAGGAGAAATCTGGCAACACTGCCTTACTCTACAAACGTCTCTCTCTCTCTCTCTCTCTCTCTCTCTCTCCTCCTCTCTCTCCTCTCTCTCTCTCTCTCTCTCTCTCTCTCTCTCTCTCTCTCTCTCTCTCTCTCTCTCTCTCTCTCTCTCTCTCTCTCTCTCATCTCTCTCTCTCTCTCTCTCTCTCTCTCATCTCTCTCTCTCTCTCTCCTCTCTCTCTCTCTCTCTCTCTCTCTCTCTCTCTCTCTCTCTCTCTCTCTCTCTCTCTCCTCTCTCTCTCCTCTCTCTCTCTCTCTCTCTCTCTCTCTCTCTCTCTCCTCTCTCCTCTCTCCCTCTCTCTCTCTCTCTCCACCTCTCCTCTCTCTCTCTCTCTCTCTCTCTCTCCCCCTCTCATCCCACAACTCTCGCCACGCTGCATTGCTCAGTGTCGGCGCCTAGCAGCCTTCGAAGATTTAGCTTCTGATCGCTGTAACCGCCAGATGCGAAATTCGTGCTGTGATACGTTTTTAAATGCCAAACGGATTTCACCTACTCGCATTCATCGTCAACACTAGTAGAAAAACAAAGAAGGTTTTAGGTCGGGAAGATTATGCACCGGCGCTATATTTATAATGAGGCAAGTGCAAGAGAAGTTATTAGAATACAACAAACCGGCATATCTATGTTTTGTGGACCTTAAGAAGGCATTTGACAGGGTCAAATTAAAGGACGTAATCCACTTATTGTACGCAAGAGAGATACCTCTAGGAATAATCAAAACGATTGAAAATATCTACCAAAACAACACAATAAAAGTAAAAGTAGAAGAAGAACTAACTGACCCTATTGAAGCAGCTAGCAATGGGATAAGATAGAGAGATTCCCTGTGTTTTCGATTGTTCAACCTGATTATGGATGAAATAAAAAAGTAAGAACTAAAAAACATAAAACTTAAAACATTCTGCTATGCAGGTGACGCAATACTGCTCTCTCAAAGTGAAGATAATTTACAACGTATGCTGCAATAATTTAATATAACTACCAAAAAATTTAACATGTTTATTTCCAAAAAAAAATGCATGGTTACAACAGCAAATTTACTAAAAATTGGAGTAAATTGGAGCTGGAAGGTAAAGTGATGGAATTTAAATATCTAGGCATCAATTGTTACGGAAAGCTCAAAACTGAAGTGAAAGATCAAGTGAATAGAGCAAACAGAGCCGCAGGCTGCCTGAATGAAACAATATGGAGACATAAAAATATCGGGAAAGAAATTAAAGGCAGAATTTACAAAACAGTTATCAGACTAATAATGACATACGCGGCAGAAACACGACCTGCAGAGGGCAAAAAGGATGTTAGAAACAGCAGAAATGAAAACACAAAAATTGATAGTAAAACACTATGGGACAGAGCTAGAAGTACCGATATACGAAGTAGATGCAAAATGGAGAACATCAAGGACTGGGTAAGAAATAGAAGAGTAAAATGGAACGATAATATAAGCCGAATGACAACAAATGGAGTAGCATAGACGGTTCCTCAATAGTAAGACGATAAGTAGGAACACCACGAAAAAGATGCAACGACAACTTACTGGTTACTTTGAAAAACAGTAGAAAAATGTAGACAGTCATGTCTACATAAAAAGAAAAAGAAGAACACATTCATCGTCAGTTAATCGAGGTTTATGGGGAAAAGTGCATATCTATATGGTGTAGAGAATTCAGTAAAAGCCGAACGGAAATTCACGATGAAGCTCGGAGCCGAACTTCAGTTTCAGACGAAATTGTCGAAAAAGTTGAAAGAATATTGCTTCAACATCAGAGGTTCACCATTAACGACCTTGCTTTGTGTATTTCTAAGACTTCTTACACCGCAATTCATAAGATATTAACAGAAAAATTAGGCTATCACAAAATGTGTGCGTGGTGAGTACCGCTTACAGAAAACCACAAATAGCAACTTGTCGAGTACGCCCAGCAGTTTTTACAACAATGTGAAGACAACATGGAAGAATTTTTGGATTACATTGTTACAGGCGACGAAACATGGGTGTTTCACTTAACCCCCGAAAGTGTTTTCTAGGAGATATCGCATACGTTTCCTTCATATGAAGTATGCGCTATAGGCACAGATGGGTATTTATTGCCGTTGAAAAGCAAAACTGCTTTTAAATTATTTAAGAAGAATCTATAAATGAATGCCAATTGTTTGGTTGTGTTTGTGTCAATGCAAAAAATAAGCTGTTAACATTCGTTCAATATAACAAAGTTTTGCTTGATCGAAATAATAAATCAGTTATGCATTACGTTTTCGAAAGTAAGTTATATGCACATCATCTTCGAGGAGATTCTATCCTTCTGAACGTAACTTGGCTAGTTTTGAATCTTAAACTAAATCATTCGATTCAACCTGTGCAATCAGATGGGGTTTTGTGGAAAATTCTGGTTCTTAAAATAGTGGATAATTGTCTATTTCCGGTTTTAATTTATATCAGGGTTTTTTTCGTCCAAACTCAAATTCTTTGGTAGTTTTGGAATAGTAGATGTTGTATAACTGATGATAAATTGAGATACTGCACAGTATGCTTGGGCTTCGGTCCCATATGTCTTACAATATATATGAGAGGCCCATAACTTATCTTGATCTCCCACTTTAACTCCGAAATAAAATTTAAAAGCTCTACATACAAATGGGGTGAGAATACGATTTTTGCGATTTAAAGGTGAGTTCCTTACACACAACAAAAGTGTTAGCTTGATTTGCACACTACCTAGGGATTCTACTTTGTTGGTAATTCAGAATCAATCAAAGTATACTTATAAAATTGAACAAAACAAATGTGAAACACAAACAGGTAACTGCGTTTTACGCCACGCCAATAGGAAATGTATCAACTTCATACGCAGATAAATATCTATTGTAAAATGTATAAAATTGGATAAACTCTGTCCATCTTCGAAATTCACGGAATACTTATACAGGAAAAGGATATCAGAAAAGATCGCTGGAAATTAAATATTAGAAAGCGATAACATTGAGGATAGCTGGGAAAAACTCAAAAATAACATAATTAACGCAGCAACAGAATCACTTGGAGAGAGGAAAGTAACTAACACTAACATATCAAAAAAGAAAACACCATGGTTTTAAAGAGGAAGTAAAGACAAAATGTGAAGAAAACAAGAAAGCCTTTTTACAATACAGGACGCAACAAACACAACAGGCATAAAACCACTATAAACGAATCAGAAATGAAACGAATGCTTTAGTTAGACAAATAAAAAAGGAACACTGGCAGAGTTTCTCAAAACAGATGGAACACGGCTTCTACGGAACACAAAAAGAAATATAAAGAATGACCAGAGGACAAAGAAAAGAGATGAACGAACTAATAAAAACAAAACACATTCAGAAGGAAACATAGGTAGATTACTTTTGATCAATATTTGCTAAAGGTGACGATAATGAACCACCAGCACCAGAGGTGACGACAAAAGAACTGTGTACATTTTGCATATATAGACAGATTGAACCTGTATTAAACTCAGATATTTGTCCTGCGGAGAAAATATAAACAGTGGCGACACGGCCCAATACTAATGTCACTTATCTACTTATTCTTTAAGATATACATAATTGCTGGTTACTCAAGATTGGGGGGGGGGATAAACACATTTTGTTTAATGCCAGCAGAAATTTTATGAATTATTTTTGGTGCTTTCTGTTTCTGTTGGTGGGAATTAATTAGTTGTATCTAGCCTAGTGGATAATATTTTATATCAATTGTATAGCAACAACAACCAACTTTATTGTCGTAGGAAAAGTCAAAGACATCTTTGAAATAAACAGCAACAGAAATTAAAACAATAATAAAGCCAATCACTCGGTGATCGCAAAACGACTTTTTTTAATTTTTACATAGCAAATTATTTACTTTTACTCTTTCTTATCTAAACTCAAATATGATTATTATAAAAACTTACATTTGTTGAAATTAAATCCTTTCATATATTGCTGAACATTATTTAACAGTTTGACTAGACTCGGCCATATTTGTAGTCGATTGGTGAAAACTTTTTCTTTCAAAACAAAGGGGTCGTTCTGAATGAAGTACAGTAGAAGTTTGACTGAAATAATAATTTGTTATTAAGACACGTAATAAAATCTCAAACAAATACTTTGAAATACAAGAAATCTTTCAATTACAAATCTTATTCTTAAAGTTATACTCATTGTTATTATTTTATTATATATACTTGAATAACGAACCTGCTGGAAGAGCATAATAATCCATAATACCATCATCTATCTTTAATGTATGAACAGGCACCAAAAAAGCACACAGAGACCCAGCTATCAACTCCAAAACCAGTTGCCTAACCTTCTTCTCATCATTAGTCAGCTCATTAATTTTATTCAAGTCAGATCCGACGTGACTTAAGGCGTACAAATTAATAGTGGTAATCTTTATTAGCATATCCCTGGTGAAACTCTGGGTTGCTACAAGTGCAGTCATTACAGAGTTGAGGCTCTTAACTGATAGTTCGGCTTGTTTGAGTTCCGAGGCCGTATGAAAATAGCCGTGAGTGCATAGGAACAGTTGGATGAACTCATTTACTGTCATTTTTGTTTGAATCTTTTCTGACGGGCTGCAATAAAAATGTATACTTAATTTTTAATAGCGTTTTATTATAATAACAACAATTCAATTGATACTAATAATCCAATTGATACTAATTTCCTTTCCAATTTATGTACGAATACAGCAAACATAGGGAAAGTGTCTCTTATTCATGAATTGAGCAAGCATTTTCGACCAGTATGTATTGCCGGTCCTGACAATTTTGAATGCTCAACATTCAAAAAGATTGCTGTGTAAAAATGGAATTTTGCAGGACACATAGGAAGAATGGAAGACAACCATTCGGAGGAAGCCAATTGTTAAATCGCGATCAAGAGCAAATAAGAGAAATAGAGTAAGACTCTATTTTAGCCAGATGAACTGATGACGTCAAGCAAACGGCTGGTCATGAATGGATGCAAAAACACAACGAACAGAAATGAATGGAAACACCTAACGGAGGCCTGCATCCTACAATGGATGGAATAGCTAATAATGATGATTATTATTACATAGTTTTCTAAAATGCTGCAACTCCAACTTTAGACGGTAGAGTGAGGACTGGATTATGTATATTGTTCTGAAGCTATTTTCTTGTGGCATTGTAGATTAATTACTATTAAACTGGGAATAAGCCACAATTAAAGATAAAAATACGTTTATTGACGTTTCAATTTCCACTTCGGAAATCGTTCTCAAAATACAAACAGTAAATTAAACAAATTTTGTTTTTTGTTACATAGTGAAAAATTTTTCTAATAATTTAATTTTATCTGACTCATTTATATTGACAATTCAGACATACATTATGCATTTTAAAGTAGACGACTTTAAAATGATATTGCCAATATTGTTGAGTTGCGCTCCTGGGACGACTTTACTTATAAGATAGTTCATTCGATTACATGAAATCAACTTTAACTTGAGAATATCCGTCAGAAAAAATCATAGCATGTAATTCGTCTTTAAAAAGACAAACACATGACATGATGACAGTAAAATTCTCCTGTTAGTGATTCCATAGTAAATTATGAGGGAAAACCAGGAAAAAACCTCATAATACTATCCCGACATTGTAAGTATTTGTTCGTGAATTTAGTTTACCTTCAACAAACATCAAAATTCTGATTTTATATGTTACGTTATTTAAAAAACATAAATGATGTATCCTCTATATGTTACTGACTTACTAATACTGGTATTTTCTTATTAATAACTTCCTCTTTCAATATTGGTAACCAGATCCTACTACATTCTGCCGAAGAATTTGCGACACAATTGGCCTCATTTAACATAATTAGAGCCGCTTCTTTGATTTTTCTTTTTTTTACCATCCGTTTCTTTTAGGACTACATTTGAATTACTCCATTGAACCCTAGTTCATTATCCCATGCGTGTTTACAGATTTGAGATCTATCAAATTCTTTATTTTTAATATAAGATTGATGTTCACTTATTCTAACATTTAATGGCCTTGATGATTCACCTAAATAAAACTGATCGCATTCACAAGGTATTTTATAAATGCAATTCTTTGTCCTTTCTTGTTCATTGTTAGGTTTGGTTTTGGACAAAATAGATCTCAACGTGTTTGTTGTTTTGAATGTTGTTGAAATGTTGAATTTATTTCCTATCCTTTTAAGTTTTTCTGATAGTCCTTTTATGTACGGTATTATATATATCCTTTTATACGATAGAGCCAAAATTACTTGTTCTAATGAAAATTCGTTCTTGGAGGAGAAACATTTGTTAACATCTGTTTTATTAAAAAATGATTATCCTTTATCGTTTATAAATAAGGAATTTTCAACAATCGATCGAATAGAACAGAACAACTTAGAACGAGATCCTACAGCATATACAAGGAATAATATGAGGAAAATAACAATACCGTACATAAAAGGACTATCAGAAAAACTTAAAAGGATAGGAAATAAATTCAACATTTCAACAACATTCAAAACAACAAACACGTTGAGATCTATTTTGTCCAAAACCAAACCTAACAATGAACAAGAAAGGACAAAGAATTGCATTTATAAAATACCTTGTGAATGCGATCAGTTTTATTTAGGTGAATCATCAAGGCTATTAAATGTTAGAATAAGTGAACATCAATCTTATATTAAAAATAAAGAATTTGATAGATCTCAAATCTGTAAACACGCATGGGATAATGAACATAGGGTTCAATGGAGTAATTCAAATGTAGTCCTAAAAGAAACGGATGGTAAAAAAAGAAAAATCAAAGAAGCGGCTCTAATTATGTTAAATGAGGCCAATTGTGTCGCAAATTCTTCGGCAGAATGTAGTAGGTACTTAAAAACAGTGTAAAGGAAATATAGACAAGTAGTAAACTTGACATCGGAAACTCACTTCGTCGAATTAATCAAAATAACGGTAATCCAAGAGTAGACTACACCGTTGAGGACAATAGAGATAATGAGATCAAGACCCCAACATATAAAGCAGAAAGAAACACCCGCTCCAGACGAAATCTTTAAAGAATTTAATAATACCAAGATAATAACGAGAGCAAAAAATTACTAACGAGCACCAACAAATTAATAAAATCCACAAGAAAAATATTTCCTGCAGCTGGCTGTATACCACGTATCACAAAAAAAAGAGGTTAATCTTTGTAATTTGGTATATTTAAAAACCCTTAAAAGGGCTACATCAAAAAACACACGAACGTTTTCGGAATGACAATTCCATCATCAGGTTTAAAAAAACACTAGGTTGACATGCCTGAGCCACCAAAATATTTGGGTATGGGTTTGATATTAAGTTAAATTTGGCTTCAGGTAACATACACCCATGGTTTGAATGAGTTCCAGTGTCCGGAGAGTAAACCTCTTCAAACGGACTACAGCTGGTAACTGTTACTGTGGTAACTTGAGTTACCAGCTGTAGTCCGTTTGAAGAGTTTTTTTTAACAAATTAATGGTAAGAGCATGGAAAATGGAAGAAATGCCAGAAAACTTGAGATATGGTAAGAAAATGATAATAAAATCAAGGAAATCAAGAAATAATAATAATATAGTAATAACTACATCAACACAGAATTAGGTCCAGACCAAGAGATCCGGGTACGAATAGAAATAGCAAGGGCAGCGTTCTTAAAATTCAAACAATTGTTCTGTGACAAAAATCTGAATATTGCGCTGAGACTGAGGTTTGTTGAATGTTACGTCTGGTCGCAATTATTGTACGGGGTGGAAACATGGACACTAAAAGCGCAAATAGTTAAAAAGATTGAAGCCTTTGAACTTTGGATATACCGGAGAATGTTGAGAATCCCATGGACTGCCAGGGTCACCAATGAGGAAGTGCTGAGAAGAATGGGTCGAGTCAAAAAATTGTTGAGAAAGATAAAAGTACGCAAGACTGCATACCTTGGACACATACTATCTAATCTATCTATCTAATTAGCCTTCTTCGGTCCATCTTTGGACATAGGCCTCCCCAATCCTTTTCCATTCTTCTCTGTCTGTCGCAACAGTCATCCATCTAGAGCCCACGTGCTTCTTGATATCATCTGCCCATCTCATTTGGGGCCTTCATCTGCTTCGTTTATATTCCCAAGGTCTCCAACTTATAAGAATTTTGTTCCATCGGTCTTCTTTTTGTCTTATATTGTGTCCGGCAAATCTCCATTTCAATTTTGCAACTTCTTGTCTAACTTCCCTCACTTTTGTTTTCTCTCTTATCCACTCGTTTCTCTTCTTATCCATTAGTCTTATGTGCAACATTTGTCTTTCCATTGCTCTTTGGGTGTTTATGATTTTGTCCATGTTTGCTTTTGTAAATGTCCACGTTTGGGAGCCATACGTAAGAACAGGGAGTACGCATTGATTATATACTTTGGTCTTAAGATGCTGTGGATATCTTTTGTTTTTAAGAATGTAGCTTAGTTTGCCAAATGCCGCCCATGCCAGTCTAACTCGTCTCTTGATCTCTGCTGTTTGGTCGTCTCTTGATCTCTGCTGTTTGGTTCTCTTTGTTAAGTTTTATAGTTTGACCAAGATATATATAATCCTTAACTTGTTCTATTTCATCTTGTCCGATTCTCATTGTGATGTCTTCATCTGTATTTGTTATAGTTTTGGTCTTGCTGTAATTCATATTAAGGCCTATCTTTCCAGCTTCTACGTCCAGTTCTTTCATCATTTCAAATAATTCATCTTTTTTATCGGTTATCAATACGATGTCATCAGCGTACCTTAGATGGTTCAAGCGTTGTCCACAAATTTTTATACCTTTTTTTTCCCATTCTAATCTTTTAAAAGTATCTTCAAGAGCCTGATTGAAAAGTTTCGGTGATATTGTATCACCCTGTCTCACGCCTCTACTTATTTGTAATGATTTTGTTCCTTCATATACTTTAATTTTTGTTTTGGCTTCCTTATATATATTGGTTATTAGTTCCGTATATCTGTGGTCAATTCGGCTGTTAATCAAAGAACTTTTCACTGCCCAATGTTCGACACTGTCGAAAGCCTTTTCGAAATCTATGAACGCCATATATAGAATGTGGTATTCATTTGCTCGTTCTATAAGTATTTTCATACTTAGTAAATGGTCACTTGTGCTGAATCCCTTTCTAAAACCAGCTTGTTCTTTCGACTGGTATCCATCGAATTTTGTCGTCAATCTATTGGTTAAAATTTTTGTTAGGAGTTTATACATTACATTGAGGAGTGTTATAGGACGGTAGTTTTTTATATCTGCTTTATCCCCTTTCTTGTGTAGGATAATGGTTACTGATTCCTTCCAGTTGTTTGGGATTCTTTTTTCTTTTAATATCCTAAGACACATACTAAGAAATAATAAATATAGTCTTCTGCAGGTCATCATGCAGGGTAGAGTCGATGGCAAAAAGGGAATAGGTAGAAAGAGGAAGTCATGGCTGCGAAATATTCGAGACTGGACAAACATGACTGTAGACGAATTATTCCACGTTGCAAAAGACAGAGAAGCTTTTAAAAATGTGGTCGCCAACCTCCGTTAATGGGGACGGCATAGGAAGAAGAAGACTAGCAACAACTATAAGGAAATAACTTAATCAGATAAAAGTTTACCATTATATAAAGAAAGAAAGTGAATATTGTCTATAAGGATCTAGAGAAATGATATCAACAACATCAGATTACAACCACGATACATACAATTACACAAAAGATCGAGAAATGCCATGAATATAATATAAACTATACTTAAAACAAACGGTTGATTGCAAAGAGGAAATGAAAAATCAAGATATCCCGGCAAAGCACAAAAATTACAATAGAAATCAGACTAGCACACGCAGATGATATGGTACACATTACTCACGGAAAGACATAAGGAAAGCTTAGAAAATGCCTTAATAAAACTCTCAACCAAAGCGAGAAAAAGAGTGCTATAAATACACCAAAGAAAAATAACACACCTCATATGTTCCAGAAAAGATTGCAACACAATAAAAGACATTAAAAATAAAACTACACATTTTAGAAGGTTATATAACTTTGAGCTCTATAAAAACTAAAGAATTAGCATAGGGGAAGCATGTAATATTTTTAATAAAAATAGACTAAGATTGACAGGACCTCTATCAATAGCGAATGGAAACTATCCTCTCAAACGAACCGTATTATATACGAAAAATAGGGAGAAGGGCTAAGCCAAGGCTGAAATGGAAGAATGCTTTACACGCGAGAAGCATCAGTTCTTCTTATTGTACCGTCTTCTAGCAAAGGTTGGAGATTACTTTTTTAAACGCTTCCCTATCTTTTGCAATGTGAAATATCTCTTCAACACTGAGGTTAGTCCAATCTCTAATATTCCTCAGCCAAGATGTTTTTCTTCTTTAATTGTGTTCATAAGCTTTGTGCCACGTCAAATTCGTCTTATGGCGGTTCAACGGTGGGAAATGAACAGGAACGACTGGCAAAACAGACTAGGGAAGGTCAGGTTCAACTACGGCTGTAGTACCACTCATCGTGATGGTGATGACACATCAAATCACATTGAGAACATCGAACACTTCAAATACCTAGGAGTAATAGTATAAACGCAGAAATAACAGAGCGTATACTAGCAGGCAACCAAAGATACTGAAGATAGGAACCTAAACGGAGAGACAAAACACAAAATATACAAATTGGCTCTTAAACCACTAGTCACATTTGCAGTCGAGACAATTTGTCCAACAAGTAAAAATAAGAAAGGGTTAAGAATATTTGAGAGGACAATTTTAGAAAGAATTAGGTCCAAAAAGAACGAAAAATGAAGAACTGCGAATAAGAAACAATCACGGGATATGACACTCAATGAAGAAGGAAAATATAGTAAGATTACCCCAAGCTCAGAGATTGAACTGAATAAACCGCATCGATGGAAGAGAACCTAATACCATAATCAAAAAAGTTACCAGATGGAAGCCAGAAACACTGAGAGGAAGACCTAAAGAAGGATGGAACAATCAGGTTATTAGATACATCACTAAAATGAAACTGGAAACTAAGAGACAACTATGTCAAAGTAGGGAAGAGTGAAGAAAAATTTTAAACTGTAGAGAAAAAATAAGGAGTTGTAGAACCATCACATCATTTTTATTTTATGGCGTGCCACTGACTGAATGGTGTTTGTTTAAAAATAGGGTGTCTTAAAAATATAAAAAGAGAGAGTGCAGTAAAAAAATAATAAATGGCCAAAAGAATTATTAAATACTAATAAAGGTGCAAAGAAATATATTTTTAAAAATTGTTTACATAATAAATTGCATCAAACTCTAGAAAAATAGTGCATTTATCAAAATATTAACTTTAATGAAAATAGGGAATGCTTTACATAATTGAAAGTATTTAAAAAAAAAAAAAACACTTTCATACGTTGAAATATAACATAGAGTGTGTTCTATTTATAAAAAAAAAAAACGAGATGACACTCCGGGAGTGACCGAGGAGGGGAAGCATACTTTCTTATCGTCTATGCATATAGCTATGGTTTTTAATTTATTTTATTTTAATTATTTATTATATTTTATTTTATGCTATTTTATTAGGGGTGTATTTTGTCTCCTATGCTCTTCAATCTATGTGGAGAACATTTTTGCAAAAGCACTGGAAGGCTCTGAGTGTGGAATAAAGGTAAACGGGTTTCCGATAAATAACATTCGTTACGCCTACGACACCGCGATAATAACAGACAACGAACATAATAATATGCAGTTGATGTTAAATAAAATAAACACCGTAGGAAAAATATATAGCTTGAAGATAAATGCTGCAAAAACTTAATGCATGGTAATAAGAAAAAATGCACTTTTAAGAATACTTCTGCAAGTAGATAGTGCTCCAATCGATCAAGTAAAAACATTTAACTACTTGGGAATGATGATGAATTACCAATGGGATCCTCAACAAGAAATAAAATGCCGTACCGAACAAGCAACACAAGCTTTTATCAAATTTAAACCGCTACTATGTCACCCCAATCTTTCATTCAATCTCTGCTACAGGATGGTTAAATGCTATGTATAGTCCATATTATTATACGGCATGTAAAAATGGGCATTAAGAGTACCTTCCATTAATAAGTTGGAGACCTTTGAAATGTGGACGTTGCGAAGAATGTTCCGCATACCATGGACAGATAGGGCGAGAAACGAGGAAGTCTTAAGAAAGGCAAATACTGGATACCTCGGCCATATTCTGAGAGGGAAAAAATACGCAATTTCTCAACTAATCATCCAGGGAAAGATTGAAGGCAAGACAGGAGTAGGTCGCAAACAAATGTCGTGGCTACGGAACATAAAAAACTGGACAGGCATAAATAACACTGGCGATCTTTTGCATGCCGCAAAAGACAGACGTCTGGCCTAAGATAATTCGCCAACGCACTATCGGTGCACGGCACTATAAGAAGAAGAAGAAGAAGCTATTTTATTTTAGTTTATTTTATATTTTATTTTATTTCATCAAAAAATACGCATGAGACTGCGTTTACGACACCACGTAGCCCGCGATAATAAAGCTATGCTTCCAAAAAATAAAGCTATATTCCATTAGAAAATTATTGACAGCACAATCTTTGTGGCAGATCATTTTCATTTTATGTTATCTTATATTCGAAGTTTGTCGGGGTGGTCATATTATTAAGTTTTTAATTGTTGTATAAAACAGAAAACAAACTATCAATATTTATAATTTTTTTGCTTTAAACAATCCTTTATAAAGACATTTTAAGCATTTGCCATAAAAACTGTGCTTTCATGCATTTTCAGACCAAGTATAACGAGTTTTGTATTACCACCTTGTATTGTACCAGCATGTACAACAAATAAACAATGAGACAAATAAACTCTAGCAAAACTGGACCATATGAAAAACTAACACTTGCATGTAAGAGTAGCGATATTTTTGAAATCGTAATATGTAAAATGGCAAAATATTAAAAAATTTCTAATTTAAAATAATATACTGGGCGATTCATTAAAAACTTTTAATTGTTTAGGCGTTATGATATTCCCTGACTATCACAGCAAAATATAATTATAATTATTCTTACCTGTCTTTATCTACTGCAGAAGTCAAAGTACAAGACAAATTGGTTGCTGATGCAGGAAAAGGGTTCTTAACTGCTATACCTCTTATGTAATAAAATACAGTTGATAATTTGTTGCCCTGACTGGCTTCTAACAGGGCCAATTGATTGTAGGGATGGCCACTAGTTGGAGATACTAATATTGCTTGTCTGAAAAAGTCGTAATATATTGTCATTTTGTGTTGTTTTAGATGCAAAAAATTGTAACGAGATAAAAAACGTGATAAAAACGAGAAACATGAGTTACCTGGGACATCGGTTAAAAAACGAAAAATACTATGTTCTCCCAATTAATTAGTGGGTAAAAGAGAATAGAGATGTACTTTATTGTCACTGAAAATTGTACAATTTTATGGACAAAGCTTGCAAGAAGTCAAAAAAATAACAATAAAAATAAAAATAAAAATTTACTAAAACTACACTAAAACCTTACGAACTAGTTTACGAATAGGTTTAAGTTGCTGCATGTGATATCCAAATATATATAGAAGTCGAAGCAGTCGAACTGCTTAGAGTCTTAAAAAAGGATTTCAAATATTATTTCATTTATGAAAAGTATGCTTTGGACTGTCAGATAATTGTTGTTGGTAAATGTCATTTGTTCAGAGTAAATTATTTTTGATGTGACAGTGTAGTGTAATGTTGTATTTTTTACAAGTAATCATTACTTTTTTTGATTGAAATGCCTCGTCACAATCATTTTACTAATGAAGAAATGCGAGATATGATTTGCGTATGCGCACAAGAAAGTGGCAGCCAGAAGGTATGGAATGTTATACGCAAACAGAACGCAACCAAATCTCAAAATTTTGCAAGATTATATCGTAGTTTAGGTGAAACTGGGTCATTTCACACTAAAAATCGGGGTGGTCGACCGAAACAAATCACACCTAATCAAGAAGATGAACTTTTGGTTCGAGTAGATGAAAATCCTGAAATAAGTTCACGACATCTATCAGCAGCAACAGGAGTAAGTCAGTCGTCTATTATTAGAATTCTATAAAAAGAGAACCTCCATCCTTATCACTTCACTCCTGTTCAAAATTTACTTCCAATAGATCTTCCACGACGGTTACAGTTTTGCCAACGTATTCTGAATAAACATTGCAATGACAGACACTTTATTAAGAATATTATAAAAATCATGAATGTGTTGCTTGTGTGAGTCCATATCAAATAGGTAAAGAAATAATAATAAGACTTACTCACAATCAATTTAATTTAACAATCTGACGACCGGTTTCGCTTTCTACAATTTGCAAAGCATCTTCAGGTCTAGATACAAAGTTAAACTAATGCTGCAATAAAATAAAATAAACCCAATTGGATGAAGATATGCCATATATGAAGATTAGAAGAGAGCCCTTAAAAGCATCTCAATACGTCAGAACTCAAATACGAGACGAGATCGGTGATACAGCATTATCGAGCGAGCGGACATAATACTTATTAGCGTTCATATATTCATGTATTGTGTAATTCAAAATAAAGTCAAACACTTTATTTTACAAACACAATCGAAGTTACAGAACAGCTAAGTAAGTTCTGGGAACTTGAAGAGGTTTTCAATGAAAAACCTGCACTCTCGGGCGAAGAAATTGCATGCGAAAAACATTTCGAAGATACGGTAAAACGCGACGCGACAGGCAGATTCATAGTGTCATTGCCATTCGAGGAACCGATAAGTTCACTCGGTGATTCATTTCGTCAAGCAAAAAATAGGTTTTTAAATCTCTAAAGGTGAATAAAGATGCCAATCTTAAAACTCTTTATAGCGAATTCATCCAGGAATGTAAAGATTTACGACACATGAAAAGTTTGTGCAGAATTACAGAAGCGGCAGCAGACTTTAGTAAAAATACTACATGTTATTTTATGCCACATCATCCAGTATTAAAGGAGAGTTTACTCGCTTACGGTTACTCCCCATTTTATTGCGTTTCAGAACACACTTATATGTAGTGAGTGCGGATATAGAAAATATGTACCGTCAGGTATCGGTTGCAGATGATCAAAAATCCTTACAATGTGTCTTATGGCGAAATAATCCGGAAGAACCGATTGAAATATTCTAGTAACAAACAGTTACATACGGTATGAAATGCTCTTCTTACTTGGCGATAAAATGTCTAATGACATTAGCGGAAGAGCAAGAAGCTAAAAATCCCAACATTGCTAGCATTATTAAATCCGATTTTCATGTGAACGACGTTTTGACAGGTTTTGATTCGAAACAGAAAGCGCGTGAAGCTTGTAAACAATTTTTTGAGGTCCTCAAAGGCGGAGGATTTACATTGCGTAAATTCTGTTCAAATAATCCTGAAACATCAAGAAATATATCGGATAATTCAACTACGGGTTTAGTTATTCAATTCGGTGAAAACGAGAAGGCGAAAACTTTGGGATTAGTGTACTCACCGCAATCAGATACTCTGTTTTATAGCATAAATTCATCTCTAGGCCATATAATTACAAAGCAAACTTTATTATCGGTGCTTATTAAGTGCTTGTACAATCATTGCGAAAATTACATTACAAAAACTATGGTTAGAGCATCTTACATGGGATGATCCCATACCTGAGCATTTAGCAAATAATTATTTATAGTTTAGGAATAAATTAGAAAGCTTAAACAATTTAAAAATACCTCGGCATGTTATATGTTATCGTGAGGTCAAACTAGAACTTCATGAATTTTGCGACTCCTCAGAAAAAGCGTACGGTGCTTGCATATTCATTAAATATACCGATTCGTTAGGTAGATCGTATTCATTCTTATTATGTGCGAAAAGCAAGGTTGCATCTTTAAAGCCAGTTAACTTGCCGCGTTTAGAGCTCTGTGGAGCAGTCATTTTATCGCGTTTGACCAATAAGGTCAAAAATTCATTAAATGTACAATTTAATACGTGTTACCTCTGGACAGATTCATCGATAGTACTTAGTTGGTTGAAAACATCAGTCAATCTTTTGTCATTATAAGACGTTTGTTAGTAACCGCGTAGCAGAGATTAAGGAAACCACTTCGTTTGCGCAGTGGCGTCATGTGTCAGGCAAGGATTATCCTGCAGATCTAGTGTCCAGGGGTGTGGAACCAGATAAAACAATGGAATGCAACTTATGCTGTCATGGACCGGAGTGGCTCATGCAAAATTCAAATAAATGGCCAAATTTACAAGTTGCTCCTACTGAAACAAACGAAACTAGAAAAAGCATAAAGGTTTCACGAATAAACTTGATGAAACACAGAATACGGAAGTATTTTTAATTGAGCGCTTTTCTAATATTTTACGTCTAAAAAGAACCGCTGCATATGTGTTCAGATTCATCCTCATGTTTAAAAATAAGGAAAGAACTTCTGAACTCTTTTCTGTGACTGAAATACATTCTGCATTTAACCGTACTATAAAACTGTGTCAATCACAAACATTTTCTAATGAACTAAAGCATTTGAACCAAAAAGGATCTCTAGATAAAAACAGCAAACTCATAAATTTATCTCCATTTCTTGATGATCAGGGCATTATGAGAGTAGGCGGGCGAAAGCATTCCGAGTTTGCTTATGACAAAAAACATCCCATCATTTTAGCGGCAGATCATATAGTTACACCGTTAATATTTGATCATTTTCACAAGGATCTTATGCAATGCATGCTGGTCCTCAGCTTTTACTTTAAACGATAAGAGAAACTTTTTGGCCGTTATCAGGAAGAAATTTAAACGCGACGTACAGTACACAAATGTGTAAAATATTTTCGATTAAAATCCAAGTCCATTCAGCCAATAATGGGAGACATACCTGCCCAGCGTCTCGCAGGTGGGCCACCGTTTATTTTAACAGGTGTAGATTATGCAGGTCCTTTTTTAATTCTCGATAGAAAGGGTCGAGGTTGTAAACTAATAAAGATAATAAAGATAAAGTGTCTTTTCGTTTGTTTTGTACGAAGGCCATACATTTAGAATTAGTTACGGAACTGTCTAAGGAATCATTTCTGTTGGCCTTTAAAAGATTTATTGCGCGAAGAGGCAAGCCTCAAAAGATGGTTTCCGACAATGGAACCAATTTTATAGCAACTAGTTCGAAGTAACGCTTTAAGAGAATTTTTAGAGCACACTCCCGCCATAAGAGAATCCTTGCTAAAGGATAATATTTCGTGTGGTCTTTTATACCTCCATATTTTCCACATTTTGGCGGACTGTGAGAAAGTGGAGTAACAACAGTTAAGCATCATTTACATAGAGTTTTGGGAAACGCGCACTTAACGTTCGAGGAATTTTATTCGTTGCTTGTGCAGATAGAAGCTATAATAAATTCCCGTCCGATTCATCCTTTATCCTGTGATCCAAATGATCTCTCATCATTAACTCCTGCACATTTTCTCATCGGAATACTACTTATTACCAATCCAGATCCAGATTTGCGTCATATTATAGTTAATCGGCTCTCAAAATTCCAGCAGATTCAGCAGCTTTCTCAGCATATATGGGAACGATGGAACAAAGAATAGATCTCCGAACTACAAAAACGTACCAAATGGACTACTACTATCGGTGAAGTTGCGGAAAACACGTTAGTGCTCATAAAAGAGGACAATTTACCTCCATTAAGGTGGAAATTGGGTCGCGTGATCGAACTTATACGCGGCAGTCATGGTGTAGCCAGAGTTATTAAGATAAAGACAGATAATGGTATTATAACTCGTTCTTTTTCCAAGGTGTGTCCGTTGCCCGTTTGGACTAAGTGCATTTCAAACATTCGAACATTTAGCGTTCGATTTTGTTGGCAGTGTTTGCCAAGGCGGGGGATATGTTCACCCCACTATCTATTTTAAATCTATTTCATCCATTTTTTCCGATTCGGCAACATAACAGCTTATGAAGATATTATGCCATATGTGAATATTAGAAGAGAGTCCTTAAGAGCACTCCAATACGACAGCACTCAAATATGAGACGAGATCGATGATACAGCATTCACAGCGAACGGACATAATGCTTATTAGTGTTCATATATTCATGTATTGGGTAATTCAAAATAAAGTCAGTTTTTCACACGGAGTTTGATTATTTAGCAGCGACACACGTGAAGTGCAAATCAAGTCATTCCACAGCATATTCGTTATTAATCAACATATAGCGACATACAAGATATC